GAGTAGTGGTCAGGTGTTTCATAGAAGGCCCCTCTCTTAGAATTTGTCTGATGTTTTTCTCGTGGTTATACTGGAGTTATGGATTTTTGGGAGGAAGACATAGAGGTAAGTGCTATTTTCATCACATCATATCCAGAGTAAATGATTTTTCGTGGCTAGTGTTGACCTCAGTCAGCTGGCTGCGGTAGTGTTAGATTTCTCTACTGTAAAGTTACTCATTTTTTCTCCCCTCTCCTTACTGTGCTCTTTGGAAGGAAGTCCCCATGTGCAAGCCATACTTAAAGAGTGGGGAGTTACGCTTCCTTTCCTTGAGGGTGGAGTATCTACATAAGTTATTTGGAATTATTCTGAATGGGAGATTTGTCTCTTCCCCTCTATTTATTAATTCAATCATTTATTAAAATCAGTATGGACTCAGATTTAATTTATATTTTGAGTTATAATCTAATACATATTTATTTTGTGTCTCAAATTATTCCAGCTTTGGCCATTGGGAACTCATTCAGTTGGCTATTATGTCCCTTTGACATACCCCATTGACATAGGGTTTTTGTTTTGTTTTGAGCACTTCCTTACTTTCTGGCACTACGTTTCATCTTCTTCATGTTGTATATTTTCTCCTCCAGTCCTAGATCAGCCTTTTCCTCAAGGAGCCCTGATTCCTTTTATTGGGGAATTGTATTATAAACCAAGATCTGGGTGCTGGGTATACTCATTGCTACTGGGGCTACAATACATTTTAAAAACAGTCTTTCAAAGATAATTGTATCATGCTGCATAATTTGGTTCCATACTTCGAAAATATACATGTATTATGAACTATCCGAAAGAGAAACTAAGAAAACAGTCCCATTTATAATTGCATCAGAACAAAAACAAAAAAACAAAACCTAGGGATAAATTTAACCAACAAGGTAAAAGACCTGTATTTGCAAAATTATAAGACACTAAAGAGAGAAATTGAAGAAGGTACAAATAAATGGAAGCATATGCCATACTCATGGATAGGAAGAATTAACATAGTTAAAATGTCCATACTACCCAAAGCAATTTATAGATTCAGGGCAATCCCTATCAAAATACCAGTGGTATTTTTCACAGAACTAGAACAAATTATCCTAAAATTTATATGGAAACACAAAAGACCCTGAATAGCCACAGCAATTTTGAGAAAGAACAAAATTGGAGGTATCATGCTACTTGATATCAGACTATACTACAAGGCTATAGTAATCAAAACAGTGTGGTACTGGCATGAAAGCAAACACATAGATCAATGGAACAGAATAGAGAGCCCAGAATTAAATCCATGCCTATAAGGTCATTTACTCTATGACAAAGGAAGCAAGGATATACACTGGGATAAAGACAGTCTATTCAATAAATGGTGTTGGGAAAACTGGACAGACACACGAAAAACATGTAACTGGATCACCTTCTTATGCCACATACAAGAATAAACTCAAAGTGGATTAAAGACCTAAATGTAAGACCTGAAACCATAAAACTCCTAGAAGGAAACATAGGCAGTAAACTCTGACATTGCTCTTAGTAATATTTTTTTCTGACATATCTCCTCTGGCAAGAGAAACGAGAAAATAAGCAAATGGGGCTAACATGAAACTAAAAAGTTTTGCTCAGCAAAGGAAACCATCAACAAAATGAAAAGACAATCTACTGAATGGGAGAAGATATTATACACCAACGATACAACGGTAAGAAGTTAATATCCAAAAATTTAAAAACTCATATAAGTTTTAACTTATAAATTAAACTTTAATTAAAATTAGGGACAGTAAGAGATTAACTACAATAACTAATAATTAGAACAATTATAAAAATTACTGTAATAAAAGTTATGTGAATGGAATTAAAATATTTTAGAAAATACCTCATATTGAACCATCTTTGCATTTCTGGGTCATGGAATATTTTTTAAAAACCCATTTAATTATATTTGCTAGTACTTTAGTCTTCTGTATCTATATAAATAAATGACATGGGTTTATTATTTTTCATGTGTTCTTTGCTCATTTTTGGTATCAGGGTTTTCTATCACCACCAAAATCTTTTTCCTGTAATGTAATAAAATAGGTTGTATAAGAATAAACTGTTCCATGAAGTTTTGATAAAACTCATCTGTAAAACAGTTTGAAATGGTAAAGGGATAGACTTTTGCTAGAAGTTCATGAATGTAAATTTTTTATTAAAATTTTCCATTTCTTCTTAAGTCATTTTAGGAAGTGTCCTAGAGTTGTCCATTTCATCCAGGTTTTTAAATGTACTGGCATGGCACGTGTTTCATATTTTATGACTTTTTTTTTTTTTTTTTTTGCATCTCAGCTCGGGCTGGGAATCAAACCGGTGACCTTGTTGCTCAGCGCTCGCACTTTTTTTTTTTTTAAAGATTTTATTGGGGAATTGGGGGAAGGGGAACAGACAAGTTGTTGTCCTTTTGTTCTTCAGTCTAGTTGTGGAGGACGTCACTTCACTGGCCCATGTTGCTATTATTATTGCGCTCTTCCCGGGTGAGGCAGTGTCTTGCCGGCCATTGGATGGCCGCTCACGGCGGCTCATGGCAGCTCATGCCAGCTGCCGGCCGCTCACGTTGGCTGCCTAATGATAGTTCACAGCAGCCCACTGCAGCAGGGGCTGCAGCCTACTCATGGCAGCCCAGCTCCAGGTTGAGCTGTTGTTCACCATCTTAGCTGTAGAGGGCGCAGCGTCACTGGCCCTCATGTGGGAGCCGAAACGGGGCTCTGCTGCTCAGAGCTGGCGTCCCAAGCCAACTCTTAACCAATGCACCACTTGGCCGGCCCTCATATTTTATGACTTTTACTTTTTTTTTTTTTTAATGTTTTTAGCTGAGCCATCCTGCCACCTATTGGCAGCTCAGCGGCAGCTCAGCTCAGGCCGGGACTTGAACCGCTGTTGCTCAGAGCTTGCATTCTTGAGCAAATTCTTAACCAACTGAGCCACTCGGCCGGCCCTTTTATGACTTTTAAACCTCTACTTGTATCTGTGGTTACCTCTCCTGTTTCCTAATATTATTTGTTTGGGACACAGCCCTTCCTTCCCTAGTTTTGCTAGTAGTTTTCTAATTTATCAGTCTCCCCTTCCCTAAGAATTTGCTATTTTATTGATACTGTTTTTTTAAATCTTACTACTTTCTGCTCTTTACTTCCCTTTACTTTGTGATCAATAACTCTTTGCCATTTTTATTTATTTTTATTGGGGGAACAGCCATGGCCATTGGTTACACATTGCTTTCATGCTACAATGGCATATTTGACTCATTTAGGGAGAGCGCAGCTCACAGTGGCCCATGTGGGGATCGAACCAGCAACCTTGGTGTTATCAGCACCATGCTCCAACCAACTGAGCTAACTGGTCACCCCCTGCCATTGATTTTTTTTTTTTAAAGATTTTTATTGGGGAATTGGGGGAAGGGGAACAGACAAGATGCTGTCGTTTTTTTTGTTCTTCAGTCTAGCTGTGGAGGACGTTGCTTCACTGGCCCAAGTTGGCACCATCATTGCGCTCTTCCCGGGCGAGGCAGATCAGTCACCGGCTTCCGGATGGCCGCTCACGGCGGCTGCTGGCTACATATGGTAGCCCATGGCAACCCACTGCCACAGGGGCTGCAGCCTACGCTGTCGCCAGCGATTCATGGCAGCCCAGCTCCAGGTTGAGCTGTTGCTCAGCATCTTAGCTGTGGAGGGCAGTGTCACTGGCCCTCATATGTGGGATCCGAACCGGGGCCCTGTGGCGTCCCAAGCCAGTTCTTAACCATCGCACCACTCGGCCGGCCCTGATTTTTAATCTTTGTTTTAAAAAATGCATTCAAAATGCATATTTACTAGTATCATTTTTTGTTGTTGTTTTGTGGTATGTTGTCATTCATTCGATTCTAAATAATTTGTTAATTCCTAGTTTTAATTTCTCCTTAACTGAGTCATTTAAGAGTACATTTTTCACTTTGAAACATTTTAAAATTTGTTTTATTATGGCCTAATTTAGCTCAGTTGAGATCAGAGAAATGGGCTTAACATCTGTTCTTTCAAATCTGTTAGGGCTTATTTTCTGACCCAGCCAATAGAAAGTGTCAATGTTCCTTATATTTTGGGGTGGGGAGGAAATAGACTTTACTGGGCATAATGATCTTTATATATATATTCAATCACACTTTTTAGTTTTACTAATTACTAATTTTTAATTTATTACTGATCTATAACAATTCCTGATAAAGGTATGTTGTAATTGTCCACTATGATTATGAATCAAATCCACCTTGCAATTCCGTTTTTCATATATTTTGAGACTTTTATTAGTTGAATCTAAGTTCATATTTATTATATATTGTTGGATTGTCTCATATTATTATGGATAATAGTGTTTATTCCTATTAATGCTTTTTTGTTGTAAATTCTATTGTTTGCTATTACTATAGCTACACTACCCTTCTTTTGGCTAATAGTTACTTTTTAAATTCAGTAAGAAAAAGTTCTGATAAAGCTAATAATGTTTAAATTCGTTCATACACCTAAAACGTCAGACTATGCCTAAACCTTTGCTCTTGCCTCCTGGAACTAAGGCCTGATTATGTTTTGCCAGACAATTATATTCTATCAATACTTGTTTCTCTCTCTTCCCCTCTTAACTAAGCGTTTTACTCTAAATGGGTTGCTCTCTGAGAAAAATTAAAAGACTTGATAAGGGAGTATTGAAGTTTCTCAAAAATTTTTATGAAGTGAACCTATTGTGTTTCTGCACAATAGGCTATGCAAAGTAGCAACAAAAGTTTTTAATAAATTATTTCTATGGGTAGCTATTTTTGGAATTGTCATATAGCTGGAGTTGGATAGAGAACCATGTTTTTTTCCTCCACAAAACATTGGATTTACCAGTTTTATTATTTTTTTTACCAGTTTTAGATAAATCTAATAAAATGTATCATTTTAAATGATGAGAATGTTTTCTGACATGATTTTTTTCTCCTCAGTGGATATTTTAATCTATTAGCCTGAAAGTTGAGTGCTTTTCCCAAAAACTGTTATTGGGAGTGGCTGTAACCTAGACACTACCTGTTTCTTGATTGGACAGAGGTTGGTCTTTGGAGAGCACGGCGACTCAAGTGGTAAGTGTAAACGCATCCCTGAGCCATGTACACTCACTGAAACATACAACATATTGATCATATAGCTAGTTAATTATAAAGTAAAACAGCTCTTGGGTGGGGAGAAAGGGATTTTATTCCACCTTAGGCCCTTTTGGTAGTGTTCTAATTTTTGGCTCATGTATTATTTTTATAATAATCTACCAGTTAATACGTTAGGTTTTGTATTTTCAGTACCTTGGAAGTTAGTTAGCCTGAATTCTGCCAGCGGAATCAGATTAGGTCCCTAAAGTATATATTGTTTTATTTCCCATACTTTTCTTTCATTAGCACTTTTATTTTTATGTGATCATATTCACCAGATTATAAATTCTTAAGCAGTGAGGGTATGAGTGTCTCACTCAGTGCTGAGTCTAACCCAGTGTCTACCACATAGTAGGCACTCACTGTTGACTGACAATATACCTTTTTTTTTTTTAAACTTTATTGGGGAACAAGGTGCTTTTTTTCCAGGACCCATCAGCTCCAACTCAAGTTGTCCTTCAATCTAGTCGTAGAGGGCACAGCTCAGCTCCAAGTCCAGTCACCGTTTTCAATCTATTTGTGTGCATGGGGTGTGCAGTCCACCATCCCATGCAGGTTGAACTGGCAACCTTGTGGTTAAGAGCACGCGCACTCACCAGCTGAGCCGCCCGGCTGCCCAACATATTCTTTTAAATTGTTGCTATATAGTCTGTTAGTGGTAAACTGATTTCATATTAATTTCTGGGTCTTTGTAGTTACCCTCATAACTGTTTACCTTTAACAACCATCCCATTTAAGAAGTATCTAGAAGGGGTGGCCGGTTAGCTCAGGTGGTTAGAACGCAGGCTCATAACACCCTGGTTGCTGGTTCGATTCCCACATAGGCCAAGGAGCTGTGCCCTCCACAACTAAATTGAAACTACTACTTGACTTGGAGCTGATGGGTCCTGGAAAAACATTGTTCCCCAATAAAATTTCTAAAAAGAAAAGAAATATCTAAGCAAGATTATTGATGGAAACGTTTCAGTTTTGTGGCTTTTCAGGCTGGGTCCCACAAAATGGATGTTTAGGGAAGTATTTCTTCTGAACTTCTTATGTTCATGATTTCTTCTAACTCCACAGTGGCTATGAGATGCTTAAAAAGAAAGGATATACTTCTTGGGGTGTTGCCCTGTCGGTAGCTGATATAACGGAAAGTATTTTGAAGAATCTTAGGAGCGTGCATCCAGTTTTCGCCATAAGTAAGGTAGGATGTTCATGTTTGAAAAATTTAACATTAACATAAAACAGGGGTAAAACATTTCATTAACATAAAACAGGGGTAAAACATTTATGAGGGACAATTAAATTTTGAGGTTGATCTTGTTAAGTACCTCTTTTCCTAATAATGTCTGTTCTTTGTTGCTGCTGAAGAGAGAGGAAAGGAGGGGTGTGGGGTAGAGGGAGAGACTTATCTTTGTAGATCTTTGTCATGGTTTAGTGTGGTATTCCTTATATTCAACTAGATAAAAGGCTTTCTGGGTCTTTAACTCTACAAATATTGAGTAACATTGGGAACCACAGTGGGTAGGTCTTGCTACATTTTGAGTTGTTCTCTAACAGTTCCAATGATTTCCAATGATTTAAGTGGTAGACCCAAGAAAGCACTAGTCACACAGCATTAGCAGTTAAGACTCCTGGGGAGGGGGAAGTTGGAGCCTAAGATCCTTCTGCTGGTCTGAATGGAAGAGGTTAGAGCGAAATGCAATTAAATCATTGGGAGTAAAGTATAGAAATTTTGAAGTGGTCCCGATTGGAAGTACTTTGGGAGTAAGGAGATAGGAAAAGGAGGGTGGGTCCCAACAAACACAGCAAGAGGCTGGGGCCTGTGTGGAAGGATGGCTGATGAATGTGAATAAACATGTATAATCATAGGTCTTAAATTGTTGTCTTGGTGGTGTTTTTCTGCCACAGTTCATACAAATCTGTTAAATACTCATTCACCCAGCAACTATTGTTTCTTGTATTTCAGACCTTTATTAGAAGTGAGAAAGGGAATAATTTTTAAGTTTGTACTTTCAGGGCCTTTATGGAATAAATGAAGTATTCCTCAGTGTTCCTTGTATCCTGGGAGGGAATGGTATTGCAGACTTCATGTAGGTAAAGTTGACCCCTGAAGAGGAGGCTTGTTTGACAGAGTGCAGACACTGGGAAATTCAGAAGGAGCTCAAGCATTCAAGTTGCTTCAAGCTACCATTCTGAAGTTATCGAAGAAGAGAGAGTTTTAGGATTATATGTATCACACTTTTGAAAAGCTCAAATTCCTAAAACTTGGAAAAAGCAAAGGGGGAAGAGTGACTGCATCTACCCTTCCATCTGTTTTATTTGGCATCCAGATTGTTGGGTGATACTTATTTTTTTACAATTTCTAAGTGACTGCATCTAAGAAGGGGTTTTGTTACTTCTGATTGCCAGTACTTACCTTGTATGTATGTATGGAGTTGCCATTCGGTCCAAAAGAATGTATGATAGATGTTTACTGTGTTCTAGAAATTCTGATTCTTTTCAGGCATATGCTGCTGCCTTTGCCCTGGCTGGCTGATACCTACATACATTTATATGCTACAAAAAAGCTGAACTTCCTCCACAATGTAAAAATAAAAGTATGCGTCACAAATGTAACTCTAAGTGGCAGTTCCAACCCTAACGCTAAATTAAACCTTGATTTGAACTTGCTAGTTTTTATTCTGATAGTTTTTATTCTGATATTTACAAGTGGATTTTTAAAGAAAAGATCTAAACTGTATAAACCCCTCAGTGATGACTGAGGCTAAACTGGTCATTCTTTTTCTTGGGAGAACTATAGAGTAGGCTGCCTGGCTCTCTAAATATCTCAGAACATCTCAAATTAGAATGTTCATTTCTTTATAACCTCACGCACCTTCCAGCTCTCCCATTTTGATAGAGGAGATTCTGTTCTACTAGATGAGCTCTGCAGGACAGTGTAGCTCGTTTGGTGGTCAGGAACTTGGCTACAGAATCGCTTGTTAGGAAGACTGACTTGGAATGACAATAAAAGCAGGGAGACAGGAGAAGTACACTGTGGCTTCCTCCTTAGCTGTGGCCAGACCATCTTGCCTGGTTAACCTAAGTTCTCAGGTATGTAGCTTGGCCATTTGCCACTTTGCTCCATTTTTCTTGATGAAAACAGTTATGATTCAGTTAGGCCTAGACAGGAAACAAATCTAGGTAGGGACTGGTGGTAGGGTACAACCCAAGACCTTTCACAGAAAAAGTCAAATCCCTCTATTTCAATTATTTCAAAATTTAGATTTCTATGTGTATCTCCCATATTAAATAGAATTCACTTTATATGCTATAGAATAAATAAAGCTAAATTTCAACTTATAATGGATATGATATTTTGCTTGCTAAATTAAAAGCTAGGTTTCTTAAGGTTTCATGGATTTTCCCTAAAGATGTTAAATAAAGAAAAGAAAAATTATGCAACAAATTTTATTTAGCATAGTCAGTCCCAACATTCAGCACAAAAAAGTTTACAGAGGATAGAAAGTGCATTAATAAAAGCCAGTCTTTACCAAAAGAAAACAGAAAATATATTATTGATTCAAAATATTTTACACTTGAATGATAAACTGCAATAACTTATTCTGGGCACCTACTGATCAGAGAAAAGAAGAGAAGGATGCTTTAGGAAGAGTCCGATCCCCGGCTGGTACCAGAGAAGTCAGTAGAGGTCACTGAGACCGGCAGTCTTTCTTGCTTTTTGCATGAGTGCCCTCAGCTGGAACTGTTTACGGGACAGAAGGCGTACATGCTAGGAGGGGGGAAAGAGTGGCAACAGTTTAGAAAGGCTTTGGCCCAGGCATGAAGTATCAGACAGTTTGTAACCTAAATGGGATCTAAGAATCCTAAACTATGTTTCAACCTTCCTTTGGAACCCGTCCTTCATTCCATGTGGCTTTTGGCTTTTTAAACTCCAACAGACTGATGCTGGCAGACTGTTAAGGAAGGTAATCTTCCGAGCCCTCCTAAAGGCTTACTTCACAAGGAGAGCACCCCACTGCAGGACCTGGCTCAGGAGTCTGAGCTACATCTTGACACTGTCAAGGTGCCAGGGAAACTTGTACTGTGAGCCTAACACAAGTTACAAAAAACTTTGATAACTGTGACTGTCCTCATTTGGTTAGGAAGGGCGGGGATGGCGCCACAAGGCCAGCACGGAGCATACATCTCTCTCGCCTCTCCATGTGCACCTTGCCCTAGGCTGTGCCATCAAAGCAGGGACAGTGTATAGAAAGGAAGTCCTCTCTTGGGTCTCTGGTTTGTACCCAGCCATTCATGTGCTTATACAAGGTCCAAGAGTGGTTTGGCCTCTCAGTCACAGTGATACAGACAAGATCTGCAAGTGACCCAACTAGACTGAAGCAGTAGGAGTAGCTGGACTGAATACCCAAAGGGTGGCTGCTATTCCTAAAACCACGCTCTTCATGACCCACCAGAGCAGTAAGCAAACTTGGTCTACAGGATCTTTTCTTCATGTCTGTACAATAGCATTAAGCCTGAAACAATCTTTATTCAGAAGGGCTCTAGTACCAGCAAGGCAGCCCGATACCTTTCAAGGGTGTTTGATCTGGGAAAACAGGTCTAAAATTATGGAACTCTACGAAAATGAACAGAAAAACAATGGGGATGGGGCAGTCAGTGAGCTCCATTTAGATGGTATGGCCTGAAAGAGCCAATGGAAAGCTGACTGCACCCCCTGACCCACTCAGCTTGATGCTGCCTGGGAAGTGGGACCTGCACGCACTAGCCCACTTTCCTTCCCCCACTCAGACGGCTCCTCAGCCCTCTGTAGGTGAGAAGACACTGCTTACAGTCATATACAAGGATCTCACTCTCTTGGGGAAGATGAAGAATTTTAACCCCCATCCTACAGAGAAACCCTCCTGGTTTGTGGCTTTCAAGGTCCATGCCTCTAAAACACAAGTTCCAGAATCCTGGAAAGCAGAATAAGGAATACATACCTTTAGGAAGACATCTAGGTCTATTACTCCCCGCCTCAAGGCTTCTCCCAGGTAAAAGATAGTGTCTTCGATAGCATTTTCCTCTGCGTACAGATTTAGGATCTGTTTGTATAGTGGGGCTGTAGGAATGATAACTTCATCAATATCATTGTTTTCAGACTGATTTTCCATTTTCTCCAGAGCAGAACTGAGTTCTTCATCCTTCTTTCTCAAAAGTTCTATGTTTTTATCAACTTCAGCCTGAAAACAGAACAGTCCAAGCATGATGACTTTATACTAATTGTACATAATTATCTGCTTATCAGACATTTACAATTCAACTTCACAGAAACAGACTTGCTAATAAAAAAGCAATGTTTAAACACTCATGGATGAGATTCATGTTTCAAATCGCACACTGATAAAAGGCAGAGGAAAAGGTGTGATCTCGTATGCTGAGGGAAAACAGAATACTGTTGGGAATGTCCTGAGCTGAGCACTTTCAGTGGCAGTGATAAGCTTGTCTCTTGTCACTGACAAATGATACTGCAAACTAAGCCACTAGGTAAGAGGCTTTCCAGCTGGAGGCTCCTTCCATGACAATCATAAAAGTCTTTCTTCTAAACAAGTGGGCATCTGCCACCAAGGACTAACTCGCCCCAGTCTATCCAGAGGATTCAACAATGAGAACCCTAAACACTTGAATACTAATCACAAGATATCACAAGATATCAAATTATGCCAGTGCCTCTACTTCATCATCAAACAAAGGCACGGGGCGGACCTACACTGACTCTTCAGGGCACAGCAGCCTGAAAACACGTGAGAAAGCACAGAGCTAAAGCTTGCAAACACTACGTTTATATGTAGCTCTTAAGTCACCCATATATCTCTGGATTATTAAGTTAGAAGCGCTCAATGAAGACACTGTGAATACAGCTCAAACAACACTTGGAAACAATTAAAAAGAACTGACCCTGACATCTGCATGCAAGGTCTGCAGATCTTTACCATGGCTTACAGCTCTCTAAAATTCTTATTTCCTGTTAAGTGGCAACATCAAACACTCAAAAAACAGTATTCCTTTGGGTCAAAACAGCACCCCCCCAGGGTGAAGGTGCAAGCAAAAATGCACTCAATACCATCTACCTCCCAGCCAAAGACCAGGTCCACACACACATAGGCTCCATTTTGAACAAAGCTATAGAGAAGCTATATTCACATGCTTAAAGACATGTATAATTTTCAGAACTCATATCCACAACATCCAGCATAACCAAGGTACACACAGAACACTGCCCCTGCCTACAATTCAATCTAAAAACAGCAACTATTCAATGAGTGACTTACTACTTCTTGATCTAAACGGGTAACCATCTCTTCCAGTTTCTGGTGACCTTTTTTCAGGTCTTCCTCTGTTCGTTTCAAGGCATTGAGCTCTGCCTGGGCGCGATCCATTTCCTCCTTCATCCGCCATCTTAGTTTGTCACTGACCGCTGAGATGAGAGAAGCTCGGATGGTGTCCTCACTGATTGTGCCATCCCTACTGGGACCTGCAGATGAAAAGGTGAAAAAAAAAATACCCTTACTTCCCAAGCTCTTGCTACTTCTTTCACAGAAACCTTCAGAAAACAGGACAAAGTATGAGCTGACACTTTCAAAGTGGGAGGAAAGAAAACCTTTATATTAAATGTCACCATCAAAAATAAAATTATGGCCGGCCGAGTGGTGCGTTGGTTCAGAGCTGGTTTGGGACGCCAGAGGGCCCCGGTTCAGATCCCACTTTGAGGGCCAGTGACACTGCCCTCTACAGCTAAGATGCTGAACAACAGCTCAACCTGGAGCTGGGCTGCTGTGAGTCGCCGGCGATGGCGTAGGCTGCAGCCCCTGCTGTAGTGGGTTGCCATGAGCTACCGTGTGTAGCCAGCAGCCAGCGTGAGTGGCCAGCAGCCGCAGTGAGCGGCTGTCCAGAAGCCGGCGACTGATCTGCCTCACCCGGGAAGAGCGCAATGATGGTGCCAACTTGGGCCACTGAAGCAACATCCTCCACAACTAGACTGAAGAACAAAATGACAGCAACTTGTCTGCTCCCCTTCCCTGATTCCCCAAAGCTGTTCTCCTCCCCCAATTCCTCAATAAAATCTTAAAAAAAAACCAAAAAAACAACTTTTCCAGAGGGAGGGACTGTATAATCATTATTATGCTGCCTCAACACTAAACTCGCAGAGCAGTAAATTGTTGCTGAATGATTTCCTGAAACCAACAGATCAGTGATGATCTGAGGAGTCCTGGAGCAAGGCACTCTCAAGGTCCTAGATGGTTCCAAGCCCTTAGGATGTGCTCTTTCAGAACCTTCCTTTTACTTTGTGCTGGGATGGAGAAGGAGGTAGTTATTGAAATTGCTTACAAACATAGATGGGCTGCAAAATAAATGATTAGTATTAAACCAAATGAAAGATCAAATCAACATCTCTACTACATGGAAGTCAGAAGACTAAGCTTCTAAAGCTCTATCTTAAAGGGGCGTGTATTGGAAAGGGTGCTGAAAAGTGAATAGGGTGAAATAGTCAACATCACAGATTTCAACACTATTAGTTGTTTCCATTGACTCAATTCTACTTAAGTAGCTACCACGTTTAGTGCTAATTCTTTAAAAGATACTGTTCCTGTCCCCAATGGGACAAATTTTTACCAGGAAATATTACCATAATTCAATCTTTGACTTGCTCTGATTTGCCATTTTTGCCAGAGAGGTGATAACTAATTTATAATTTTGGTTTCTCACAACCAATTCAAAAGATTAGGAGAAAAGCAAACTGCAATTAAATATGATAAAATTTTACTGAAACAACTTTATAGAGGATGGGATAAACACTAAGTTGTTCTGTAACAACCTACCCCTTTTGATATACAAACCAGTTAAGTTTCCATCTTATTGTCTATTGCAAACCTCCCTCCCTGCAAACAGCAAAGTATAGGACACCCCCCCCACCCCCCGATTCCTGGTTTGTAACATGAGTGATGGCCTATCCGATGGTAAATGCATACCTCCTTTTCCAGTGGTCCACGCCGCCCTTCTTATATTGAAATTACAGTATCCAGCAGGGAGTTTTGGGCAAAGCCTAATCTTTTAAAAACATGCCTTTTTCTTTTTTTGTGCTCTGGGGTATTTTTTTAAAATTCAAACAAAATACTGCATAGTTTGGTCCTGTGTAGTAAAGAATTTACCTTACCCAAAGAGAGGTTTGGCCTTTGCCCTTGGCTGCTGGAGTGATCTCTCTAAGCCCCTGGAATGTCCTGTTTATTTGGGGGGCATTGAGCCGCCACCCCAGATAGTCTAACAATGCGATCTATGGTATGTGCTTTGGGCCATGCAGTAACAGCTCAACCTCTGGGGGCGCTGGAGATGAAAGGTCAGCCACACAGGTAGTCTCATGTCTGACCAAGCCCCAGTAAAAACTCTGGACATCAAGGCTTGGGAAAGCTTCCTTGGTTGGCAATATTCTATATATAATAAATCCACTGGGAGAGGACAGCTAGAAATCCTATGCTTGGAACTTTCTGGATTGCCCCATTTGTCTCTTCCCTTAGCTGATTTTAATCTGTATTCTTTAGCTATGTAATAAGCCTTAACTGTGAATATAACAGCTTTCAGGAAGTTCTGTGAGTCCCAGAAAATGATCATACCTGAGGGTTGTCTTGGGGAGCCCCCCAAACTTGCAACTGGTGTCAGAAGTGAGGGTGGTCTTATGGATTTCTCAAACTTTACAAGTCCTTAGTAACTGAGGGTGTTTCCTTACCTAATCAAGAATATGGACATTCACGGTGATTTGTAGAATAAGTCAGTCTACCTCAAATGAGGATAGGATGTTTGTAAAGGTAACATTTTTCCTTCCTTACTAAGTATACATAATAGAACATACCAGAGATTTAACTCTTACTTCATGAGAACCTTTCACAGATCCAATATAACCTAAAGATTTAGCTGTTCATTTGGACAGATTTTAGGCCAAATCAAAATACTACCTAGTTTCTTATATTGCACTAATTTATTAAGTCCTTAAAAGAGCACAAGGGCTAATTTTCAAAATAATGACTAGTAAAGATGGTATCTCTCATTAAGTCTCTAGTTTATAAAGATACATTAAAGAATTTTAAAACTTTTTTTTTTTTTTTAAGATTTTTATTGGGGAATTGGGGGATGGGAACAGTGCTGGGGAATTGGGGGAAGGGGAACAGACAAGTTGCTGTCCTGTTGTTCTTCAGTCTAGTTGTAGAGGATGTTGCTTCACTGGCCCAAGTTGGCACCATCACTGCACTCTTCCCAGGCAAGGCAGATCAGTCGCCGGCTTCTGGACGGCCGCTCACACTGGCTGCTGGCTGCTCACGCTGGCTGCTGGCTACACACGGTAGCCCATGGCAACCCACTACAGCAGGGGCTGCAGCCTATGCCATTGCCAGCGACTCATGGCAGCCCAGCTCCAGGTTAGCTGTTGTTCAGCATCTTAGCTGTAGAGGGCAGTGTTACTGGCCCTCATATGTGAGATCTGAACCGGGGTCCTCTGGCATCCCAAGCCAGCACTTAAGCAATGTGCCACTTGGCCGGCCCTAAAACTTGTTTCTAAAAGAACTTGTCTGATTATATCCTACCTGAAATTTTATTATGGTTCCTATGAGACAGGACAATGTTTCTCCCAGAGATCGGGGACCCAAATGATATGAATAATGGTTAGACATTCAAATGTGTGGTCAATCATATGCAGCAATTCAAGTGTTCCATTTATCTGGGTAGAAGTTATCCAAACTAGTAAAGGCTTAAGGGTCTTCTTATAACTATAACTAGCCTGGATTTTTTAAACACAAACACATCAATGAAGTTTGTTTAAATTATTACATTAAAATGGTTCAAGTTACACTTACACTAAAATTTCAAATTATCATTTTTAAAAACACACATTGAAATCCTGGAATTTACATTGTTCCTCTTAGATAAAATGCGTTAAAGAAAAAAGCCATCTGAGAGCAAATAAGTCGTTTGCAAATAAGTCTCCAGCTAAAGCCAGTGACCTTCAGAATGCGAACCAAGATGAGGCAGCATTTGCCTGGCTTTCTGTAAAGGTCACAGTTCACCTGAGGCGGCTAGAAATGCCAAGATTAGGCCTAATCCTTTCCTCTATCACACACAGACCTTACTATACAGCAGATTTCAACAGTTTAAATCCATCTACTTCTAAAAAGGAGAGAACTGTAATTAAAATCTGAAATATGAATGCCAAAAAAGAAAACCCAGATTTAAGTTCAAAATTCAATGAACCATGATACTTTAAGAAACTGTTTATATAAACAAAAAAATTTGGTGGAAGATTCTCATCTGGATCCTGTCTCAAACCAAAAAAAAACTTGTTTCTGAAGCGTCTTAAGAGAAATTTTAGTAATCTTTATATCTGCTATAATGAGCCTTGGATTAAGAAGAGTTTGTGGCAAACTGGCACACCTCAAGTCCCCACACACTGACCTTTACCCACGCAGAGTCAGATTTCACAAGTGCCCTTCTACAATTCCAGATTCGTAGTAACTAAAAAGGTAACAGGTTTTGAGAAACAGTCCTAAGCAAAACCATTTAAATGTCAGGATCTGATCACTAAACTTATTTCTTAAGGAAATAAGACAATTTTTCTATTAGGAAACCAATACCCTACCCAATGATCTGATAATTCCACGCAAATCATTAAGGCCACATCTTCGCAAATCATTAAGGCCACATCTTCGAAGTGCACTAGTATACAATGCCTGATTTTAAACCATCTTTAAACACTTAAGACAATCAGTTTTATCTTTTAACAGTTCTTACTGATGATCACTACTTCCTATAGCTCAAAAAGGAGCTCATTTATATTAGAGAATCCATGGTAACCCCAAAGTAAAATACAAGTGAACTAAACAGTAACTTTTCTGACCTCACTTCTAACCAGCAAAAGTGAATAACCTTTCCAATACTAGAGATTTACATAGGACTTTGTGTTGGAAATACCAAAAAAGAGTTGTATGCAAAAATGTGGGGCTTATTCGTTTTCACACCATCTTTTAAGATAAATTAGAAGCATTACTTCATATATATAAAACAAAACTTTCCATTTGGAAATGGATTTCCACTTGAACACAGGAAAAATTAATGTCATACATCCCAAAGGCACATCTAAACCTTCATGGGTTATTTGATTCAAAGAACTATTCCTCAAGATGTGCATGAGCTACATGATTCCTTTCAAGGTCAAGAATGTTAATGACAGACCCAAGGTGTCCAAACAACAGATTCTATTCAGAGTCAAGTCCTAGACCAGAAGCACCTCATTTTGTTGTTTCCAAAACACTAATAAGTAAATCAAGGTTGAAGACATCTCTACCATTCTCTGATAAAAAAAAACTCCATCTAGATGAAACCAACATGGAGATTCTGGCACAAGGGAAGCATGGCTGAAAAGTACATCCTCCGATGAAGTACATAAAGGAGCCAATTCGTCTAGCCTTGCTTCACACATACATTCATAATGTG